CAGAGCAGCACATTTAAGCCTGAAGACTCAGTGCTGAGATGGTTCTGCTGGTCCATCGGCCAGTAGCAGCACTTGCACTGGAGGCAGGCGAGGGGCACTCATCCTGCTGCAGGGATGCTCTGGCTTGCAAAGCTGCTCCACCCTGTCCCAGGACAGCCTCTGGTCAGCAGCAGAGCTGGACGCAGAGGTGCTTAAGCTGATTCTTTTTTTTTTTTCTTCTAGTTTCCATGCCCCAGAACAACAGACAGGAAAGTTTGTCCCCCAGGATATCAGAGGGTGACTTCTGTTCAGGGGGATTTAATAAAGATATCTGCTGGCTGGAGGGGGGGGTGGCACCTGCTCACCCTCAGGGCCCCACACCTCTCCCAGGAGAGAGAGGCCACTTCAAATTTAAGTTTTCTGTGAAGTAGATTCATGCTACACTCAAGCAGCAGTAAGCAGCACCCAGCTGCCTCCCAAGGTAAACATCCAGTGCTGGCTTGCTGCAGTGGCTCCCAGCAGCCAGTGATCTGGGCTCCACCCTGGAGGTGGCAGCAACAACATAAGAAGTCCTGGAAGACATAGCTACCTCTGTATTCATCAGGAAAAAACCAAACAACCTCTTACATGCCCTTCCCTGCTCACACAGCCCCTAGACTGGACAGCACAGCTTCCACTGACCTTGAAGTGCAGACTGAGATGTTCAGCCTCTAGGAAAGGTTTTGAAACATTTCCCTGAGCCCAACTACACCACAGCCTCCTGCCTGTCTCAGCACCCCAAAGCAGTGAGGTGCAAACCAAGAGGCAGACCCCCACCCTAGGGTTCCAGCCCCCCCCCAGCCTTACCCTGAGGGTGCTGCCACACTCATGCAGTCCAGCCACGAAGGTCACCACAGTCTCAGCAGCACTCCAGACTGCAGGCAGGCAGGCATCCGAGCCCAGGGTCAGGTCTGCAGCCCTGACCAGGCGCCCCATGCCAAAGAGGTCCCTGTGCACCGTGACCACCATCTGCGCCTCTTGGCACTGCACAGCCACGGGGTGCAGCGGGGCAGCAGCCTGGAGCTGAGAGACATCCACCCAGGCCCAGGGAGAGGGCTGGAAGAACACACGGGGCTGCCCCAAGGAAAGATCCCCTCCATACCTCCACAGCTCTGCCTCCTCTCTAGTGAGGCTCCAGGGGTTGGAAGCAACCACCTCCCCCAAAACCCAGCAGAAAAGAGCAAACCCCAGGCTGCTTCTAGGCCTCATACTGCCTGCCAGGGTCCAGCACAAGGAGCAACTGCTACCCAGGGACCTTTTATAGCCCACATCTCCCACAGCCACTCCCACCCCAGGTGATGCTTGGCACACCTCCCATAAGGGCAACTGGCAACAGCTGAGAGCACCCAATTCCCTGGGGAACCCATGGTGGTGGGTTCTAATGAGGTGCTGGATGGGGTCCCTTGCCCACAGGAAGGATGTTTGCTGTGCAGCTGACTGCAGTTTTTTCCTCTGTTTTTTGGTAACAACCAGCTCTGTAAGATCCATGGAGATGTGTCCTACCTCCAGACCATATGTCCCACCTCCAGATCATGGGGTCCTTCTGCAGCAGGGGTGCTGGGAGATGGCGTGGGGAGTGACACTTTCCCAAGGCAAGCCCACTCTTCAGTTGCCCAAACTTGTCCCTGTCCCCAGCTCCTTCAAGGTGGTGATGATCCTTTATGGAGCCACTCATGTCAAGGACAATTGGGGATTTCCATGATATGAGGGACTCATGGCTGGCTCTTTGCTACCAAGCAAAAGTTGATTTTTTTTGGAGGACAAAGGGGAAGTTTAAACTTGAATCAAGTGGAAGAATAAAAGGAAAAGGGGGGATCGTGGAGGAGATCCTCATCGGTTGCCCTGAACCACATCCCTGCTCCTGCAGGACCAGACTCCGCACGGTGGTGTCCACACCGACGTGGCCACCCATGTTTCCTTGTGTTTCCCCATGCTTCTGGGGATTTTAGCAAAAGGGAGGAAAATGCTTGTGCACACATAGCTGTTTAACTGTTACCTGAACAGACTTGTCCCCTGGAGCCACTGGCTTCTTGGGCAAGACTGGCATTGAAATGACTGGTAGTAAAATAATGAATAGAATAATACTTATCAGGAATAATATTAGATCTATTAGGTATTAGAAATAATAATTACTTCTAATAATTATTAGAAGTATTAGACCTGGGGCAAAACGGTCCCCATGGTGTCTGGGCAGTCCATCCCTTCCTGGGATGCTTCAGCAGCAGGTCATCCCCTCCACGGTCCCCAGAGGTAGGGGACCAGGGCTGGTTGACCCAGCTGAATCATCCTGCAAGCTTCCTCATGCCTGGTTAGAGGCAATAAATCAGGAGGAAAAGCAGTTTGTGTATTGAAGTGACACCGGGGAGGAGCACGGCTTTGGACAGGAGTCCTTGTATGGGGTTTTAGGGACAGCACAAGGGTGTTTGCTTTGCCCCTGCCCCTGGGTGAACACTGGTGTCCTCATTGCTTCGCTAGCACATGCAGGTGAGGACCAGGTGAGATGCCCACGAGTTTCAGGCGATAGCTGCGGCTGAATCAGGCTGTTTTGGAGTGATCCAAACTGGATAGCTGCTGGCAGGACAGCTATGCACCATCAGAAGGGAAATGACTCAGGTTGTTCCCATGGGGAGCAGGCTGACAGGCTTTCTCGGCACCTCCCTGAGCAAACAGGGCCTCCTGGTGCTCTCTTGCTTGTCTTCAAGCCAATGCCTATCTCAGGGATAGCTGCACGTCTCACATACACGAGTCATCCTGTGCTCATTGAGCTCACCACAGCTGCGTCGTGGGCTCAAGGAGTCATGACACTGCAAAGCACCCATCACTGCAGCACCCACTGCCCTGCATATCTGCCTTTTTGAGCAGGTGGGTATTGTGGGAACAGGGAGCCAAAGGAAATCATTTGCAATGCACAACAAATTAGGAAAATTATTTATTTCTTCTGCATCTGTAGGCAGGCGCAGGAGCCAAAGAGCAATGAGGTGCATCCCCTGATCAAGCAACTCCCTGGCTGTCTTTGAGCCTGGAAAGCAGGGGGAGAGGTAGGAAAACCATACCCCTGCGTGCCCACTTAGGAGGTTCATATCCCAGGCTAGAGGGGTTGCATCCTGCTGACTGAAGGAGGATTTTAAATTCTTCCCACAGCTGTGTCCCTGTGGTGGTGCAGACCCCCTGGGCCACGTTGCAACGTCAGGACCAGCCAACACTGTGTTCTTGTTTGGCTCTAAGTGCAGTGAGTTGGGACAGTCTGGTACTTTCTCGTCCTGGCTACAGTACAGTGAGTTAGGACAATTAGGCACTCCCTAATCATACCTAAAACTCCTGTTGCCTGGATCATGGCCTGCCCTGGAAGGTGCCAGAATTACCTGACAAGAATTGTGGCTAGAATGGAAATATACTGACCAAAGTCAATCATCTCGCGATCCTATAAATAGCAATCCTGAGTGAGACCCTTTGAGCTCTCTGGCATCGCAGCAGGCTGTGACCCACTATCTCCCTGAGTTGGGACGCCTCTCGGTAGATTTCGTGAGGATTTCAAAGAGTAGATTTTGAGAGGATTTCCAAGATCATCCACTGATAGATGCCGATGAAGAAGAAGGGGTCAAAGATTGTCTGCTGACAAATGCTGATGAAGGAGAATAGTGAGTAATTCATTACAACTAGATTTCGTGACGTTTCAAAGATCATTTGGTACCAATAATTTACAATTGGCAAAGAGAGAAAAATCTTGATCACAAGTTAACCTCTATTTCTGTGTTTGTGTTTTTGTATGTGCGATTGGATTTAGGAAACTTTGTAGTGTTGATTATAGCAAATTTTATTAAATCACTCTGCTAAATGGCTGATGATTAAGTATTGTTAAAAATCATATAACCTAATCTTGTGATTTACCATAATAGTGTTATAAATCTTAAATTGCTGCTACCTCAGAGTCATGTAGGATCCATAATCACTCATTCCCCAACACATTGGCATAGGAATTCAACAGTAGATTTTCCTTACCCTTTGTATCCCTTCCATTAGCCATAAACCGTTGACCAAGTCTGGGGCTAAGTCTGGATCCAGCTGCACCTAGACTCCTCTCTGAGAAGGAGTTTAGGAAGCAAGGTGGTCCATTCTGAACCTCACGACTCAACGAGAGGGTTTTCTTACCCTTTGTATTCATTCCATTAGGCATAAACTGCTGTCCAAATCTGAGACTAAGTTTGGACCTAGCCACACCTAAGCTCCATCAGAAGTTTATAAAGCAAGTGGGTCCATTCTGAACTTCGTGACTCAACGGGAGGGTCTCCCTTACCCTTTCTGCATCTCCGGTCTCTGTGTGAATCATTCTAACTTGACTCTAATCGATTTTCCTTTGTATGTTTCTTCCACGTAGTAAGTAATAGAGTGAACCTTGCCATCGTCTTTGTTAAATCGCACTTTTACAAATTCATATTAAAATCGCCTTTTGCTAATACCTTTGACAGTGATTCTTGAAGTGATCTAAATCACTCATTCACAACAGTCCCACACAGCAGCTCACAGGAACAGAGCAGCTCTGCCCAACCTCCTTCCCAGCAATGACCACCATTCTTGGTCCTTCCAAACTAGTTTCCCCACCTGCTGTTTCTTCAGCCGGCTTTGGATTCCACTGACCCCCCCCAAAAAAATCCAGACCAGAAATGGTTTGAAAGATTTCTCCCGAGAGTTGGCTTGAACCATCCAGGGGGGAAACAAAGGCACAGTGTGGCTGCAGGCTGTCAGATCAGAGCCAGGACATCTCCCAGCCAAGCTGGTGTCCTCACCTCTTCACCTTAGACCAAGTTCAGGTGAGAGAGGACAGCAAGAGACTGTCACACCCCAGAGACCCAGACTCATCACCCCAGGCAGGAGCAGGCAGGAAATAGTGAAGGCAAAACTACTGATGTGAGCCAGGATTTGGCTCCAGGACTCATTGCCCATGGGTGAGAGGGGAATGAGTACTGGAGAGGCACCGGCATCTTTCAACACTCTTCCTCATTCTTTATGGCTCCTGGGAAATCACTGCCTGCCGGGGTCTTCTGGCTTTCAGCCGACTTCTCCTGGCGCTGGAAGTAGACCTTGACCTTGCTCAGGTTTCGGACTTTCTTTTCGGAGCTGTGCCGGCAAGTGTTGATGAGATGGCATGCTTTCTGGAGCCCCTTCTCGGGGTTGTGCTGGTAGCAGGACCAGAGCTCAGAGAGGCCGATGTTGTGGGCGGCCAATGTTTGAGCTGATGGCTTGGTGAGGAGCTTCTCAGCCAGCAAGGGCTGGAGGGAGATGAAGGACTCCAGGTTGGCTTGACTGAGGATCAGCCTGGGTTTCTTCACCAGGTCGACGTCCAGGACCTCGCACAGGTACTTCACCATGTTGGCATTCTCCATAGCGCTGCAGTCACCAAAGTTCCACCAGAGGTAAGTGCTGGCCAAGTTCTTCAGCTTGTAGTTATCCCTCTTGGGGATCTCCTCCTTAATCAGGGGCAAAATGTCCAGGAAACCATACACGACAGAACTGAACTCCTCTTTCTTGTTCATGACCGTCAGCGCATTCAAGAGGGTGGGAAAGGGGAGTGACCAGAGACCAAAGCCACCCAGGATGGGCCTGTGGACAGTGCGGAGGTGGCACAGCAGATTCATCAGACCAATCTCGTAGACGCTATTTTTGGCCATCAAGCTGGACAAACATTTCATTGGCTGAATCAGGACTGGGAATATTTTCTCTCCATCTACCACTGTCATCTGAATGCTTCCATTTTCTAGAGAAGAAGGGGAAGGGAAAGAGGATGGAGAGGGAGGAAAGGCAGTAGGAAAATAAAACACTGATTGAGTTGCTCAGCCTCTAACAGCCTTCACCACTGATGGCAGCTGGGGGACTGATCCACCATTTCACCTATCTCCACCATTCAGTCACACCCTCAGCTTCCAGCATCTCCAGGATCACTCCCCCCACCAGGACCATGAGGGCTTTTACAGCTTTTTGAGGGTGGACTAAGGAGAGGGGCTTGAAAAGTAAAACCCACCTTGCCTAAGAGAGATTGGCCCATGGGAAGGAGAAGCAGGGGAGCCCATGTTGACACAACAGTGCAAGGGCTGGTTAACCGACCGAGCAATCTCAGAAAAATCTCCCCGTGGCCCTATCTGCTCCACGTTCCTCCACATGTCCTGAAACTCAAAGGTAAGGCCTCTTGGGAGCTCAGAATATTGTCCTCTCCCTTATATAGCCAAGGTCGTAGTGGACATACCTGAACTTCCACCCCCTCCCCGCAAAAAAGAGACGCTGACAGATGTGGGGATCTGAAGTGGCTGCAACATGGGACCTCCCCGCTTAGGAACTTACTCAAAATCTTCACGTCAAAGAAGACCAGGGATCCTTGTCTTGTGTCCAGTGTGTTCTGGCTGCTGATGGGAAGGCCCAGGTGATCTTTGCTGGTTTCCTCATCGAGGATGTTGCTGAGGTCACCTAACAGACTGGAGTCCTGGAAGAGCATGCAATTTGCTTTCAATAAACGTCACAGGAGGAACCAGGGCAGCAGCTCTGGACACTCACGTGTCCTGAAGGTTACCAAAGCTCAGAGATCTACTCAAACTGCCTGCTGGAGGACATAGGGTTTAATAAGCCTCACTGGTTCGTCATGAAGACTTACCTCCTCCAGCACCACAAAACAAAGTGACATGCATACTCGATGCATGTCCACACGGGACGGCTCACTTGGATCCTTCCCAACTGGCTTTCTGCTCAAAAGTGACAGGAAAGTTGGGGCTACCCAACATCTCCCCTCTGGGGAAGGGATGCAGGGAAGGGAAGGGAAGCTTCCTATTTCTAAAACCTCTTCTGAAGAGCTGGTCACCAGCTTTTGGTCACGCAGACTGTCATGGGAACTACTCGGTGCTGCAAAGTAACAACAAAACCCCATCCATCCATAGCCTCAAAGAGGAGGTGAGGTTTTGGACTGCCTCTTCTTGCTGGCCTTCATTTTGACTGCTCACCACCTTGGCATCACCATGATGGTACCTACCAAGGTCTCCAAGCTGCTGGCCAGCCCAGTTCCCCCAGAGGTGGAGAAGAGCTAGAGTGGATTTATTTTGGCACTCAGGGAAGGATTTCCCAAGTTCCTTACCAGGCTCTAAGGGGGATTATGGGATGGACCTGAAGGTCTGGAAGCACCAAGTGGTCCAGTCTTCATGGCTTAAACACTGAGCAATGCAGGGCCGAGCACTGAAAGCCCTTTAGCTGCACTCACCATGGACTCCTCATCGGTGCTATCATCCTCAAAGCTGTCCAAGCAGAGAATATCGCTATCTGCCAAGGTAGGAAAGACGTGTCACCTTTCAGATGTGGGGCTGTCCACCCCTGCGGTGAGTGCCAGGGCCAATGGTCCCCCAATCGGCATCACCAACCGCGCCAAAAGGTGGCCCTGAACAGCCAGCAAGGTGGGTGGGGAGCAAGCAGAGAGCAACCCTGCCCTCAGGGTCCACCCGCAAAAGGACTGATTCCCCCTCAAGCCACAGATACCGAGTACACACTGGGCAAGATCCTATGGGGTGAGAGAAGACCAAAATGCAGCATCACGTAGCCTAAGAGTATGCAAGCAGTTTAAAGAACAAAGTCTAGTTCTCCATCGATCTCCATCAAACATCTTGTCTTTGAACAAGACAATGGGCTGGGACATAACTATCCTCCTGGGAGGTCTATGGAGATGCCGCAAACTGCCCTGCCTCGATGCCTACACCCCATAAAGTCTACCCATGGCTTCACCGCTCTGGACACCCCTTACCTGAATCGTGCAGCCCACTGTTGCCTTCTGGCATGTCTTCCAGCAGGCTGTCCTCCTTGGCGAGAGTCATGGGAGACACCGAACAGCTGGTCCCAAGCTGGACCGAGCAGCTTGGCTGCTGTGGCACTGTCTGGTTCCACCCGTCGTCATTGTTTTCAACCTTCACCACCTTCACCGGTGACGTCAGGACATTCGCATTTTGGACTTTCTTCCTCTTTGCAGGGGTGGAGGTGGAGATCTAAGTGTGCAAAGAGGAGCCCGATGAGCCTGGTGAGAGCAGCCCTGCGTGGTCAGGGATGGAGATGTCCTTTGCCACCGGAGCACAGCCGAACAAGCTTGACCACATGGGTTTGTCCCTGCCCAAAGCAAGTGCTCCGCTTGCCCAGATGTCTCTGCTGCTCTGAGGTCACCCAGCACTATGCCCTCATTTCTGGCATGAAGCCCCTTGGCTATCCTGGGCTTCCACTCCAGCCACCTCGGTCAAGGTCCCCTCTCTGCCTGACAAGGGTCAGGAAAACTTTCTGCTTTGCTTAATGGCTGCAAAGGAGAAGATGGGAACCTCCCCTTCCTTAACTGGGAGAATGAATCATCTTTATCTTCTTACTTCAGCCCTGAGGCTTCCAGGCTCTACAGGGCTTGCTGGCAGGGCTGAGCCCTTCTGATACCAGGCTGGGGTGGCCGAGGATGTGCTCTGCAGAGAGGCAGCCTGGGGGTCCCCAGCCCCAGTTCTGTGAAGGCTGTTTTGTCCCAGGCAAAGGCAGACAGGTCTGATGCTAGACAAGTCCTTCATGCACTATGGGACTGGAAACCAGAAGAGAGCTTGCCTTCAGCATGTCAAAAGCCACTTCTGGTCGAGTGGGGCTCTGCCCTTCTTGTGGGAGATGTGTTTGGGGGCCCCAGATCCATCACAACCAGTTGCAGCATCTCTCCCCCACCAGCCCCAGATGTGGGCAGGGCAGGCTGCAGGCAGGAAAAGACTTGCAAGCCATCGTGCCTAGGAGAGCTCTTTACCACGCATGCAGTGGCACGTCTCACCCTGAGATGTTTGCACCTTAGCCAGCAAGGTCCCTTCAAGGAACAAAGCCTGCCCTGGCTCTGCAGCCCTATGCCCAGCCAGCTTGGCTGATCGCCTCTTTCAGAAGAGAACTTGGAAAGCAGCAGCCAAATGCCAGAGCTCAAGCAACCCTGCAAGGACTGGGTGTAGCCCCAAATTCCTGCTGGGTAATGCCACGAGGCAAAAATCCCGGAGCAATCCCCACTCTCACCTGGTGGGAGTTTTCCATGGCTAGAGCTGCGGCGGCTTCTGAAAGAAGAAAAACACAGCGAGCTGAAAGGAGGGCAAGCAATGCTGGGGATGTCTGAGAGCAGCAAAAGACGACTCTGCAGAAGGTACAGGAGGCTCTGGGGCCACGTCCTTGGAGGGTCACCTCTTGGAGATGCTCCTGAGGCCAAAATCCAGCAGCGAGCTTGCAGGCTGGGCTGGAGAAGTGCCCATTCTGCCTGGCAACTCATTCACTCCCCCTTGCACTAAAGCCTTCCCTCCAGCTCTCCCATATGGGTTTGCTGCCCTCCCGCCCATCCCAGACCCATAAGCCAGGAGGTCACACGTGCTGGGAAGGAAAGAAAAAAGAAAATTAGCAGAATCATGCTGTTCCTGAGCAAGTTATTGCCATTCAGCGGTGAGGGTTCATTTGCAGGGGAGATGCTGCCTTCCCAAACCCAGCAAAAGACCAATGCACGGTTCGTCCTGGGAGGATTTATTGGCATAACAAGGTGAGATGGAGAGCCTGGTCTACATAGGGACCTTTAAAGGGTTTTCCAAGCAGCAACAGTCCATGGCAAACGTTCTGGTTTATAGATCCTCACTTCTTCCTCCGCTTCTGAAGTCTGGTGCTGGGCTTCCCACCACGCTTGCCCCTGGTGGGGTGCCTTGATTTGGGGCATTGCCCCTCAGAGGCTGGGTTGGAGGGCTCCAAGCATGCTGGGCTGGCAGGGGGGGTGGCAGGAGGGGGTGTGCTGGGGGAAGGGGGCGTGGCAGCCACTGGGACCAGCGGTTCATGCTTCTGCAGGGTGCTGGGAGAGAATAACTCCAGCACGTTGGAGGGCAGCGATGGCCAGTCCACGTCTGCGGTGGGGAGGTCCCATGGGCTGGCCACAGGCTGCAGCAAGGGTCCCATGGCAGAGGCAGTGGTGGCCAGGGAATGGGACATGGCCTGGATCTCCCGGGTCATGGACACCAGGTGCCTGTTTGCCCTGTGCTGAGCTTTCAGGAGGCGATCGCCGATCTTCAGGAGGTTGTCCGCCTGCTGCACGTTGGACCTGGCCCAGCCACCCAAATCTTCCTGCAGGGAGGCCAGAAAATCCTGGATGCTCCTGGGAAGAGGCACAGTGTCCCCATGGGCTGACCCTGAGTCTTCCGCTGCTTCTTCATGCCTCTGCATCGGAAGGGCTGGAGGCGTGGGTTGGGTGAGGGACATATCCCCTCCCTGGTCTGGACAAACGTGTCCTCTGCCAACAGAGGAGTCCAACACGGGGGCACAGGGCTGGTGGTGGGCTGGCAGTCCCGTGGGGAGTCCTCCGTGCGGTTGGCAGTGCTCCCCAGGAGGCTCGAGGTCGAGGATCGGGGTTGTCTTGTCTTCGGATGGGGTGTCGTGCTGGGGAGCGGAGGTACCTGTTGCAGGGAGGGGGGCTGAAGGGAGCAGGAGGGGAGAATCAGGGCTCAGAGGGTCCTCCCAGCCTGCTTCAGTCAGGTGGAGAGGCAGAGGGAGGATGCCTACCATGCAATGGAGACACAAGGAGTGGGGTGGGAGGCAGCTTGTCCCCAGGAAACCCCAAGCTCCATCCAGGACATCACCCCTGCGCTCTTCTATGGGCTGTCCGTAACCCATGAGCTTGCCCTGGGGAGCTCAGTGGTGGACGCCCACAGAGGGCCAAGGAGGACACTGGTCATAGCCCAGGTCTGAAGACAGCAGCAGGGGGATGGAGCAGAAGATCCTGCAAAGTCTCTTCCTCCCATTGCTTTGTTTCCCCCCATTTTCTGGAAGGATGCTACCACCTTCTGACCAAACCTGGATCCTCCAGCACACCATCCCTGCAGAAACCACAGATGCCAAGGCCTTTGCCATTCCCAAACCACCAGCATCTCCACCACAGTGCTGCTGCCAAAGAGCTGGGGGAAGACCTGGGCAAACCCAGCAGCGGTCATGGACCTCTTGCCATCCTTGTCGGAGAGCACTCCCGGGGAACAATTCACCTTCCGGGTTGGATACGCCATTCCAAGGTGTTAATCAACAACCCAAAAGGGGGATTGCCCCCGATGGTTGTGGACAAAGGTTGAACAAAGACAAACTGGCTGGAGATCTGAGGAGCAGAAGTGGTCAGTGGGCAGCAGGACACTAAGGCCTAGAGGATGCTTATGACCCCTGAGGGACCTGCACATGTCACCAGCACAAACATTCCTCGGAGAGGATGCAGAGCTGATCCAACCCTTCCACCTGTTTCCTCCCTGCCACCGCCAGCCTCTGTGAGCCCCTGCTCCACGCACCCCCCGCTCCAGGTGCCACTGACCTCCGTTGTCCTTCAGTCCGTGGCATGGCTCCATCCCAAGCGATTCACCGAGTTCCCTCCCAGTACAACTGCGTTTGCGGGACTGCCGTACTCCGCAAGGGCAAGAGACAAGCATTGCTTTGGAAGTGATGGATGCAACAACTGCATCCTGTCCTTGGGGGAGGTTAGGGTGTGCCCACCGCATGAGCAAAGGCTGGAGGCAAAGGTCAGTCAAGTCACCATGTGGAAGGAGACTTGAAACCCATGGAGAATATGGTCTAACCAGGAATTATAACCTTCAATTCTGCTTTCAGTCCCCTCCTCCCCAGCCCACCTGGTCAAGTGCCTCCTCACCTGGGTGCCCCATGACACGCTCCACCAGCACCTGCAGCCTGGCTCTGCACTTGGCCAAGTCCCCAGACTGCGCTCGGTCCCCGGCTGCCGGCGGCTGCAGCCGCTGCAGCTCGTCCAGCGAGTCCTTGATGAAGGGCTGCATGTCCATCACCTCCTGCTCCGTGGCGTAGAGCCTCATCTTCTCCACCAGCCGCTCGCCCGCCTCCATCCGCCGCAGCACCCCTTCCACGTGCTGCAGCTCCCTCGCCAGCTCCCGCCGGCCCTGCTCCTGCCACGCTTCCACCAGCCCCAGCAGCTCCTCTTCCTCCTGCCGGATCAGCCGCACCAGCTGCTCCACGCGCTGCCCGATCAGCTCCCGCATCTCCCGCTGCGCCTCCTCCAGCCGGGCGGCCTCATCCTGCAGCGCCGCGTAGGTGGCCTCAAAGCCGCTTCTCTTCTGCTTCAGCTCCTGGTTCATGGTGCCCAGCTCCTCCTGCCTGCGCTGGGTCTCGCTGTGGATGTCGCAGAACGGGGCGTGCTGGCTGTCCAGCAGTGCGCAGATGCAGCACACCGGCTTGCAGCACTTGTTGCAGTAGATGCTGCGAGGCCAAGCACAAACAAAGCAGTAATTTAGACTGTGCACTTTGCCATTCATTCATTTATCAAATTGCAAATTCATTCATTCATTGAATTTAAGTTACCACCACATTTGGGCCAGGCATTTGGTTTTAATACTCTCCCAATTGCAAAAAAATATGTTGGTTCACTATCTCCACAGAGTTTCTGCTCCTCTGCTGGGCTGGCTACAGTCACTGTGGTGACTGTGCAAGCATTACGGTAGACATTCATCGACACACCACAAGGGCAGTGAAGAGCCTTTCCATGAGCGCTTATTGGGGTTATGTGTAAGAATATAAGACCAAAGAGTATCTTATCTCCATAAGATGCCTAAGGCAAGAATATAAGAAGTGAAGAGTGGAGATCATCATCCATCCTTCATGTAAGTCCTGGTAGCCTTGGCAAGCGGTGGGCTAAGGACACACTGAGGCAGGGGTTGCATCTGGGCCATCGTGGCTAGCATCAGTGCTGGCGTCCGCAGATGCTACAGCCCCTTCCCTCTCGCTTGGACTTTCCCTCGAGGGCGTTTAAACCTTGTCCTGCATTGCACCCCTGCTGTTCCCCAAATTGTCTCCAAGCTGGTATAGCACCATCAGCAAAACTCATCCTTCTCTGCTGTCCATCACAGAAGCAACAGGCCTTCTTCTTGCTGAGCTCCATCAACTCCACCCTCCTTACCCTAGCAAGGAGCACCCCAGCTACTCCCCTCCCTTGGTCTACCCTGTCCCCACTCTCCCATCATCATGCCCTACAGCCCACCGGTCACTACTTCCCACCTGTCTTCTCCACGACAAGGTGGCAATCAGAGCAGCAGAAGGACAGGGACATCCTGCTCAGTTCCATCACGGGCTAGCCCAAAGAGATTTGCGACAAGAGACCACCCAGATGGGGACAGACCTCCTTAGACCTACCTTACAGTCTGGTTTTTGTGGGTCGGGTTAGAACAGGACAAGTTACCGGTCCTCCTGGAGCCCTCGAGGAATTCTTTAGCAGGCCCTGCCCTGATGTCCATCACCGTCTTGGCTTTGTGGCTCTCCCTTTTCAGGTAGCGCTGGTGGGCCTCGAAGCACTTGGTGCAGAGGAACTCCTCGCACTCGGAGCACCAGAACTCACCGGCTTTCTTGCAATTATCGCAGAACAAGTCAACCCCATCAATGATCTTCTTGTAGACCTTGAGCCTGGCCTGCAGGCTGGTGAAGAGCAGGTTGTCCATGTCGGAGGTGCTGCTGGCCTGTGGGATGGCCATCTGGCACACGGGGCACTGCCCAATGACCTTGTTCTTGCTCAGACAATCGAGGCAGAAGGTATGGAGGCAGGCGAGGAGCTTGAGGTTGGGCGATTCCTGCTGGCAGCCCTCACAAAGGATGAACTGGAAGTCATCTTCCAGGAGCTTGGAGAAGGAGGGAGAGAGGAAGAGGACTGAGCGCTGGGGTGTGTTTTTAAGAGCTTCTGAAACCACATCTCGGGGGGGGCGGGGGGGTAGGTGACCTGCAAACCCTACTTGGAGCAACCAGTGAGCAACCGCTTCCCGCCAGCGATGCCCATGCATCGTTGTAAGGTTGGATGGCTGTGGTCGCCCTGGCTGTGGGGCTGGGGGGGGGGCTGCAGAGGAGCAGTGAGGAGGATGGGGCATGGAGGAAGCATCCAAGGACCACTGGATGACACCCTGGCAGGGTGGGGACCACCCTCCCAGCCA